AATTTTTCCGATTGATAAGAGTTATAACAATCACAGTTATAGTTTTCGAAGTTTTATAGCACACCCTTATATAGCGAACTAATAATAGACACTCTCCCCTTGGGGCGTTGCGTTGGTTATATTTATAGGGGTAGGAAGGTTTTCTAGAAAATTCAATCTTGCGTAACAATACTGGTTAAAGCGTTTACGTATATAGATATATTGTTGATTCTTACTCTCGAGAATCTTCTACTACTTTGGAGAATAGGCGGGAGTTTCGCAATACCTATCTAACAGTATAAGCTATGTATGTTTCTAAGTATAAACTTAATCTAAACAACGTTCATATTAAAATAAATATATAGCAACAAATTCATTACACTGTAGAGTGCATTAGAACATCGGATCGAGGTATACACTGCTATTGACAAATCGACAACTCCTTTAGTGTCCTGGCAAAAGTTTCGCCTAATATGTCAAGTTTCCGAGTCAGTTTGTTTGTTTGTAATTAAGCAGAAAGCTGCATAATGGGCTATCTATGCTCTGCCCACCACGGGTATCGAAGCCCGGATTCTAGCGTTGTAAGTACGGAAACAATACCGCTGTGCCATTGGGGGCTTCCAAGTCAGTGAAGGTATGAAACGTCTATGTTCGAAATACCAGACAATTTCCTAGTAGATTTTGCTAAAGAATTTCAGCAATTTCTTGAATTCATATTATTCTCAAATACTGAGAGAATAGACGATGAAAGCAAATCTATTTGGATATACCGTGTTATCATTGAATTCAATATGATGGAATGTTTCCTAAATGCTGAAACTGCACTACGGCTTATTTGTCACTAATGGTCACTAACCATAGCGTAGAGCATTCTTTCTCTCTTCTAAAAAGGGTCAAAAATGTCTTACAATCTGCTACATATCAAGCGTATCTCACTGTTTTACCCATGTTGAGCATCGAGAGAGAAATTGTCAAATCTTTGAATTACAATGACATCATTCATGAGTTTGCCACATTCAAAGCCAGGAAAATATCAATTCTTATTTGAAGAAATGGGTGCAGTGAATTTTTTATGTATGATGAATTTATCTTTGGTTTGGATAATTAAATAAACTTGTTTGATGAATCTTTATACAATATGTAGTACATATTTATATCTTTTCCTCCTATTGGCCTTAGACACCTCACAGTTTGGCAAAGTCCTTTAACAAAAGACTAAAGGGGCGTGTTGTTATATTCACCGTTTGTTCCACAGGTGAGCCTCTTTGATCACCGAACTATTGTTAAAGTCCACAGGTAGCGTTCGACGACTAGTAACCAGACTCCAAGAGAATTAAAGCTGGTGAGATTCTTCATAAATAATGTGGATAACAAGGACATCACTGGGGAATTGCTTATTATGGAATGTACGAAGATTACACTAAAATTTTAGTGGGCTCGGAGACAGCGAATCATTTGAAAAATTTTAAGTGTACATTCTACCGAATATAATTTAAGTTGATGCGTATATCACATTATCATTATTAATCAAGTGTTTAATATCAAAGCGCTTCACTCATAAAATGTGGTAAATAAAATAAGTCAAAATTTAAAGCATTCAACTGCTAAAAAAAAAATATGGGTTTCTGAAAGAGGATTTACATAACGTATGAAGCCAACGAATGCAGCCTATGTGTTTCTTTTAGTGTTATCTAACTGTATATTTTAACTACTTTTAGACGCTGATTTTGCTAGAGACTATATAGCTGCTACGCTTGCCTTCGTCAGTGTACCTTCAACTTCATGAGCTGGAGAGTTGCTGAATTAATGAACCAGGAATTAGAGAGCCCAGTAGCACTAATTTCATACATAAGTGCTGGAGAAGTTTAAGAACTGCACTGTTCGCCTAACTGCTGTTTTAATCACATCACCGGTGGGTGTACCTTCAGTTCACCGATAAATTCACAGCGGTGAATAAAACAACACAACCAAATTTTATAAATATGTAAGACACCACCACCTAACGTCAAGAAATGAAACAACCGTTAACACATAACGTGGCAGTGTACGTAGACAAAGTGTCAATATAAAAGTAAAATTAACTGTTAATAATTAATCAACTAACATATTTAAAATATATTGAACTAAGTAATCATAATTAGATTACATCATGAATATTATTTTACTCTCAAACTGTACCTTTAACAGTTACTGTGGAAGTTGGATGGGCAGGTGCCTAAGGATTGGATTTGGAGATGAGAAAATACTTAAAAGTTAAAATTTAAATTGAAATGGATTGTGTATACTATGGTGTATATCAAACTATAATGTAATTTTAATTTATACGTTCGCTTGATGTTTAAACATAAGAGTTTAACTATCACTCTCAAGAGAATAAAATAAAAATATTTAAGGACAAATTAGATATATTGAGGAATGATAAAGCAGTTATGACTATAGAGTAGTATCAAACTCACGTAGTCATAGTAAAATTAGTATGTCATAAGTTAGCTAGGGTAATACCAAAGTTTTTAACACTTCATTTGGGTTAAATGAACATATTTTAACATTTGAGGGCCAAAAAGTGGCCATGCTGTCCGATTTATTTCATCAAACATCCATCTGTTGACATCCTCAAGGCTTAAGAAATAATGGAATCCTAACTTTTATTTTGTAATTACTTTGGAGATATCGTCAAAATTCAAAGCAACAGAAAGTCAACTTGTAATGGACTAAACAAAGCACCGCTTCAACCAGGGTCAAACAAAAACAATTTATTAAAATATAACTGAAATCCAAAGTAAAACTTTTAAACAACTAGGATACAAATTTTATCACTTAAAAAAAATGTAAACCCATATCTGGCCATGATTAGGTACAAATGTTAATATACTATGCAAAATAAGTTTCATTGTTATTAATTTCAATAAATATCAAAGGAATTAAGGAAATAACCAGAAGAAGAAAAACCTAATTCACCAAAGAATAACAAAATGTTTCAAAAGTAAACCACTTATCAAGATCAATAACAATGTAGAGCACTAATTCTTCCTAACTATATCTTGTGAATTAACTTGTTTTCAAGATCAAGAAAAGCTTTTTACATAGAAATTAGACCACACGATTACATCTCATGTGATTAACTTTTTCTATAAATATACATTATCTTTCACAACATTAATATCTGTGTGTCACCACTATGGGAAGCTTGTGTCAGTTTCATAATATATACATACTCAAAATCAATGTGCTCTAGATAGAAGGTGAGATAAAATTTTAATGTAACTAAAAAATTCATAGTTGAAATGAATGATAGAAGGAATAATAAATGAACAGTAAAAAACGTAACAAAGTAAAAGTAGAATTTGCTATCTCAAACATCTGACCTTTAACCCATGTGCATAGTGTATGTTGAAATGATAAATATTAAAAGTGTGGACATCCAGCACTAGATAGAAAAACAATTAAATTATGTGATTTTCAAGGAAAGAAAATTTCCTGTGTTATATTAGTTTATTTAATATATAATATGCAGCTCATTTAAAATATATATAAGAATATTATCATTAGAAGTATGACAAGGAAACAGAAGTGTGTGCCAGAATTGACAACAGAAACATGTACATAATTATATGAGATATATATTTAAATAATATTTCAAAATGGGATGAACAGTAGCTTTGGTTGGATTTTGTATATCCAGCTTCTGATTTCAGATTGTAGTTGGTTATTATCAGGTTTGATATTGTCACCATACATGTTGAAAATGTGCCATAGGCATGAGCTACTACTTAATTATTGCATCGTATTAAACTAATTACTTGCTCATTATTTTTTGAAATGTAATAAAGATGTGCTCATCTACGTGAATGAATGGTCTTTGCAGACCCTTTTAGAGAATTTAGTTCAGAATGGCATGAGATAATGCTTTACAATCCCCTACTGATATTACTGTTTGTATTTTGCTTGCCAATTCTGTCATTCCCACTACTGTGAGTACTTGTGGCATACAGTAGCAAAATGAGTGGATGTGATGTTTAAGCTTGATAATGACTGCCACAACTACCAGGGTTCCCACCCTTTAATATTAGGGAAAATGCTACTATGTTTTAGAAGTTATTAAAAAGCATCAGTGGGCTGGATGACACAATACCTATCATGTGTAATGCATTTGCAAGAAGTATTATGCCTGCTTAATATTGTGAGATAATCCATTGATCCAAATGCTGTCTGATTGTCAGATTCATCATAAAATTAATACCCAAACAGATTTAATCTCAATGGATAGTGCAGCATCAGATTGGATATTTGTCTCATCCCTAATAATTATGCTCTACTGTGAATATTAACATTCTCAATATAAAATATACATTTCCAATGTTTTAAATGACTTTCAACTTTTTCAACATAACATTTAAAAACAACAAGGCAACTGTTGGTCCATCAAGACTATCTCATCCATTAAATTAAAATGCAAGTAAAAATAATAAAAACTCCCTCAAAGCCAGCCATTATCATTTAAATACTTCTTCTTAATTGACTGCATTCACCACATCCATTTTAAAGATCAACTACCCTGTTAGAAAAATAAAACTCTTTAGCTGAAAATGACTCCTACACTGCCAAAATTGATACTTGCATACCCTCGTCTTACCATTTTCACTATAAAGTACCAAACAAGGTGATGCATTGAAACTATTAAATCTCTTAATAATAACAACCATTTCAATCAGTTCCCTGTAAGTTCTTTTTCAATTTTGTTTTAACTACAAATCATTATAGATAACCTGTAGCTCAAGAATATTACTTTCAATCCATTGTGGGTTCCATTGGCTTAGTTTTTGTGCACATTTATCAGTACTAAAAGTATTTTGTTTTGTTTTCAGTACACTAATTATAATTTCAGATCTTATAGGATAATCTTTCAATTACCTTTGCAGTTGAAGCACTATTCTAGTAAAAAGATGTAAAATTTTCTCTTTGGTTTTGTTTTGACATGCAAGTTAACATCAGTTGCTCATTTCATTTCAAAAATATCCTAACATTTTTTTTTCCTTGTGAGTTTTGTCATCTTTAAAACCGTTACAAATATCTCCAAAATAAAATATTTTCCATGTGTTGTAGAACACAAATAATTTTTATCAGAAGTATATAACTACAAATCCTGTATTTTATTTCATTTGATAAATTTAAATGTAGCAGCAGGAGTATATAAGTTGTATTTACATGAAAATGTGATATATTAATATTATAATGAGCAGTAACAAAATACATTGTCTAAATTAAGAAATTATACATGCTGAAATATTTGATATTCATAATATGCCAATACTTCTTTACTGACATCAGCTGAAAGTTACAAAAAATCATACGATTTTTTGTTTTTGACTGTTACCATTATTAGGTGTTTATTTTACAAAGTGTAACATATGATTTTGTTTGAGTACAGAATTTTAGTCTTTAAAGTATTAAACATTTTCTAAGTCTTAAAATTGTTATTGATTTAGATTTTTTGTTTTCTTTAGATTGTATAAAACTGGAGAATCAACAAAAAGGGGATGATTAGAGGCATGACATGAAGAAATGACCATGTTTTTCATTTCAAGAACTTCTCCTTTCTTTCTTAACTCTTGTGCTTTACAAAGTAGCATCCTCTGTACTTCTGTGTACAGATATTTGTGTCAAAAAACAAATATTCATGCAAGTATATTCAATTTACCTCACATGTTTATTAAAACAAATGCTACATTCTCTGTGAATTCTGAGAGACTCGTTTATACTTTCTATAAACCTTCACTAAAATTAACTTTTATAAATAAACTGCGTACTAAGGCTTTTGTGAAATGCAATAGAGCTCATTTTAGTATGACTAAAAAACATCAGTCTCATATCAAACAATTAAAGAATAAGCAAGATGAAAGAAGTCAACAGTGTAGGAAACATAATTTGTTGTTTGATGTCTGTAGCAACAAAGATAATATGTCTGTAGAAGAATGGAAAGAGTTCAAAGATGAAATTATTACGTCCTCGAAACGCAGAATTACAGATTATAGTTTTGATGGTACTGTTATGAGGGCAATGTTGTCAAGAGAGAACCATAGTCTAGCAAAATCTTTCATGAAATACCTCAAAGCAATGGGAATCAAGCCAAATCTAGTGACAGTGTCTTCTTACATGGCATTGTGTGGTCAAAAAGGTGAGGATGCAGATGAGCAGGAAATTTTGAATGTTTATAATGAATTTTGTGATTTACCATCTGAACTTGATGTAGTTACAGCGGAAGGAATTATACGTGGTCTTTGTGTGACATCACAGTGGAGAGAAGCCTTGAAAATTGTTGATAAAATTCACAGCTTCACCAACCCCTCACAAAACTCTCTAAATGCAATTGCTTGTTCGGCTTTCAGAAATAGAGATATAGATTGTGCCTGGAATACCATTGAGAAGATTGTTGATGCGAAACACTTACCTGGAGAGCAAGTATATTGCAGCAGTATATGGTTATCTAAACAATTAATCAACAATAAAACTGCTAATGGGTTTGGATTGATGGAGCGACTCTTGAATTTCTTTCATGCTAATGAAGTACAGATGACATTGTATGTTGCAAGACTTATCAAAGATTATTTTGAAGAATATGGAACAGCACAGTAAGTCATGTTGGTTTCTTAAGAAAATGTAATGTTAAAGTCATAATATAGTATAATACTTTTGTTTATTAATAGAAAACAAATTGTATAAGAACAAACAAAAAATATAATAAGACTGTGTAAAATATTTTTACCAACTAAGCCACATAATAGAGTGTATTAAAACATGTATAAAATAATGTAATAAAAGTATGAAATGCTTAATTTATTTGAGGAAATTATTTATGCTTATTGTTCTTATTTTGATATTCATATTCATTCATAAAAATTACTCCATTTTGTTCACAGTGGGGTGGCATAAGTCTAACACCAGTCATGGGAAAAGTTTCTTTGAAAGCTGATAAAAGATGCTTTGCAAAGTTATTTAACAAAACTAAAAATTTTGTTGGATAATCAGCAGTTGGTTTCACAAGGAATATTTTGCCTTGTTAATTTTTTGACATCTTTTGAAGATGTATAGGAAAGTAAAGATGTGAATTTTTTGTATGTGGATTTTCAGAAAGTATTTGACATAATGCTACATAAAAAATTTGTTATAAAATTATCTTTATAGGTGTGGTGATAAGTTGGCTCATTAAATAGAAAAATGGCTGCATGGAAGACAGCAGAAAGTTTTTATAAATGGTTCAATCAAACTGGATTAATATTATAAATGGGGTACCTTAGTGCTCAGTGTTAGGACCTTTGCTCTTTCTGATTTTCATCAATGATGTAGATGAAGGAATGACAATAAGTTACTTTGCTGACAATACTAAGGTATTATGTGCTACTGGCTGTGAGAAGGATGCTGCTTCTTTACAAAAGGATTTAAAATCATTTGGTATGTTGGCCAAATAAATGGCAGGTGGCTTTCAAATATAATAAATGAAAGGTAATGCATGTGGGTTATCATAATTTGAACTATAATTTTGTGGGAATAACTTTAACAATGTTGTAGAAGAAATGGATATTTGTGCAATGGTTTATCAGTCTTTTAAGCCATCCGAGCAGTGTGCTGATGTTAGTGGCAGAGCAAATAAGATTTTAGGTTGTATCTACAGAAATACTGAATGCAAGTCTAAAGAAGTTATACGTTCATTCTGTAGGTCGCTGGTTAAGCCACATTTGGAGTACTGTGTTCAGTCTTGAGCTACTTACCTGAGGAAAGACATTGAATTGTTGAAAAGGGTCAAGAGGAGGGCTATAAGGATGGTACATGGTATATAAAGATTGTTATATGAGGACAGGTTAAGACCTTTGAAATTGTTTTCTCATGAAAACAGAAGAGTTAGAGAGGATTTGATCAAGGTGTTTAATATTTCTAAGTGAATTGTTAGTGTTGATGCTTCATCTTTTTTCATTCTTAATGGTGAGAATAGTAAGACTATGGGACAGAAATATAACTTTTGGCAAGGTAAAAGTCATTTTCAGCTAATACAACTTTATTTTTCTAAAAGATGGTTGGCCTTTGAAACAGGTTACCTTGAGGTGTGGTGAAATCAGTAAATTTAAGAGGGTTTAAGGGAAGGCTATATAAATATTTTAATGATAAGGGCTGGCTTTGAGTTTGTTTTTGTATCATTTAGTGTATGAGACAGCCTAGATGGACCAACAGTTCCTTTGTTGTCCTTAAATGTTGTTATATTTACAAATGAAGATGGCTGTGGCTGTTGAATTCATCTAAATGTTATTAATCCAATTCATATATTTTAGGATTAGATAGTAGATTTGACCATACATGTTAAAAATGTGCTGCAGGCATGAGCTACCTTTTCACTACAGTATTAAACTAATTACTTCATCACTGTTTGTTTGAAAAGTACAGTTGAGTATGAATGAGCAACCCTTTAAGGAAATGTGGCACACAGCAGTGTGAAACAGTGATTTACTCCACTGATCCCATACTGATACTGTTGATTGGATTGTGCTTGTTGTCACTACAGTTACCACTTGTAGCATACAGTGGCAGTAGAATGGTTGGTTGTGATGTTTATTTAAACTGTGTATTGACTATCTGTAATCTAACTATTAGGGTTTCCAGTCTTTAATACTAGGGAAAATGCTACTATGTTTAGAAGATAGTAGAAAGCATCAGTGGACTAGAGGATGCAATACCTGTTATGTATGACATACATGCAACTAACATGATGCTTGTGTAATATCGTGAGATAATTCATTGATGACAATATTACCTGATTATCTAATTCATCACAAAATTAATACTAAATCTGATTAGATTTCATCAGTAGTGCAGTATTGGATTAGGTCAAATATTTGTCCCATCCTTAGCCCCAAGTGTATTAGGTATGATAAATAGTCATTAACTAATGTTTCTTGGATCAAAGATTCAAATGGTTTTACTTTCAGGCATGAAAAGCTGATCCTGCATCTTTCAAGAATTAATTTGGCTTCCAAAGTATTTCTACATGCCTAAAACTCAAATGATTTGTGACTCTGTAAATTATAACATCCATTGAAAAAAATGTACATCTAATGATCCAAGGCTCTAACACAATATACTACAAATATACAAATATTATGTTTATATTGATGCTAGGCATGTATGTGTGTGTATTTATTAATTATTTTATTTCTAAATAAGATCTGTGATTTTGGTTGATTTTTCTTATGGAATACTGATAATGATAAACATGCTTTATACTTTTACTTTGTAACAAGCAGTGTTTTGTCATCTGTAGTTCATTTTGGAAATAGCAATAAAAATGCAAGCTTTTAGGCATCACTTGCCCACATTGTACACTGTATGCTGTTGTTTTTCTTGGAAGCTGCTTGGATATACACATGAATATTAAAGTGGTTTAGGCATTATGTTATATAAAAAAGCTTTTTGTAAACTATAAAATTTACAATCTGTCCAGAAATGTTCTCACAATGGATCTAATTTACTTTAAAATCAATTTATTTCATGATTCTTACTAAAAATATCATAAAATTATACACAGTTTTTCTAATGTACAGTGTATATGAATACAATTTCTTTATTCACACATTTCTGTAGTTTGATAAACCAGATTTTTTGAACTACATATACTACTGCTAAGTTCAGAGTGGAGTAGATTAGGATGCAAATAATTGAACTGACAAAATCTTGTTGTCATATTACAAGATGGTCAGATCAGTAATATCTGCAGTGTACAATTAAGTTTATCGTATGACAGACAGCCACAGGGAGTCAAATCAATATTCTGTGCAACACACAGTGAAGTTCAACATATTGTAGTGTACAAGTATGCTGACGTAGTATTCTCAGGTTTACTGATTTCCTTTTATGTAATCCAGTAAGATCCGTAAGGTAAGAGAAGGTTCAGCAGAAAATGTTTTGCAGATTTAACCAGATTCTCTTGGTCTTGACTGAGCTTAGTAAAGAAAGAGAGAGCATACAATCTAAACAGAGGAAATAATCTTTATTTAATACAAAATGCAATCAAAACAGTGAGTGTGTTAACAGAGAATAATACCTTTATTGTGTCTATTAGAAATCTGCTGATTTGTTTAAGAGCTTAAAATTCTGTGAAGAACGCATGTTCTAGACTGATAAAACATAACATTATATACACACAGTTCTATAATGCTATTCTTCTCAGGATATGTTTGCTATCCATTTCACTGTTAATCATTCCAATCAAAAAATAAGGAAAGATGTATCCTTAAGGTATCAACTTCAGTGGAAAAATATTGCTGCCTGCCTTTACGTAGTATGTTTTATTTTGCGCAATGTTTCCCAAATAAAAGTGCATGTGATACTATAGGAGAATGACAAAGAACAATAGGTAACTAGGACTAACAAACTTAGTCACTTCCTTCATCAAAGTTCTACATTTACGTTAAACCTGAATACACTTCTATGCATTAAAATTTGTCCCTGCATAATACACTAATATTCACCAGATATTTAAAAATATCTCCAAAATGCAATTTCCAGAAACTTTATACAAGGATCAGTTTGAACATGGATAGCAAATGGGAAAAAAGCAAGTAACACTAATGAACAAATGAAACAGAATTTTTATTCACAAACAGTGTGTGTGTGTGTTTTTGTTTTTCCTATTGACTGTATTCTAATTCACAGTTGCTGGAGCAGAGAGAAAGGGACTCCATGTTTCCATAAAAAGATAAGAACAATGAAATACCACACTGTTCAGTCAAACCAAAGTTCTAGCACAGTATCTCACTATCTTTAATTGTAAGTCAACAATCTTTCTCCTAAATATATTTAAGGAAGATAAATCCTCAACTCATACTGACTTGTACAAGTGTTTGGAAAGAGTATGACTCCTCTCCAGGAATATGCAACATAGAAACAGGGCCAGACAAGTATTACGAGTCCAAGATGATAATTGTAATATGTAACCTTTTTGTAAGGTACATATTAGTACAAGTAAATAATCTTCCCACCTTAGGCTTGTAAGGATATTACAACTACATGGCGAGCACATGCAAAAAGTTAGAAAATTTACCTGAATATACTTAACTAAATATATTTTATATACAATTTAAGGAATGGTAAAATATGATGTTACTAGTTATCACAATGTTACATGTACAGACAAGCATAGAAAGCTATTGTAAATCTCTAATGTGTACAGCAGATAGTGAAGTTCATAATATTACAGGCAACTACAGAGAGACAGTTCTATATTCTATACAACTTGAAATGAAGTTTATCATATTCTGATATGGTACTTGCCTCCTCTCACAAGATTAGCTATTATTGTTCAGTGCTGCTCTCTACATGCAAACTTTTTCTTTACACTTGCCACAAGCCTTTTGTTCCCCACCTCATGCAAATCATCATGGGCCATCTCTTAACCAATAGTAGCATGACATGCTCATGTGACTCTCTCTATACTCCTCTACCAAGCCTTCACTTCTCGTTTGGAATACTCATGTTCAAACGTTTTGAATTTTGCTCTTGTGTGCTTCTTTGTTGTAACTTTAACAGTATTTATTGCTGCAGTAGTTTTGTACTCATATTTGCTTATACAGCTGATGAATTTATT